GACATCCAGAAACTGAGGCTGTCTGGGAAGAAAAACCACTTCCTGGTGAGTGATCGGGGAGGCTTCTTGGAGGAGGCAGCTTTGATCTGGGCCTGTTTGCCCTTCAGCCATAGTGGGCTGGGCACCCTCAGTGGTAAGGAGAGCACCAATAAAAGTGCAGAAGTCAGGCTTCTGCACAGCAGAAGAAAGTCAACAAAATGAAACAGCAACCTATCAAAGGAGAGAAAACATCTGCACACCATCTATCTGATAACCTAACTGACAACCAAAATATATAAGGAATTCATATAACTCAACTCAAAAAAAAACAACAACCGAAAAACACATGCACAAAGTATCTGATTTAAAAATGGGCAGAAGTGGGGCGCCTGGCTGGCTCAGTTGGTGGAGCATGCCTCTCTTGATCTCGGAGTCATGAGTTCAGGCCCCACATTGGGTGCAGAGATTACTTAAAAATAAAGTCTTTAAAAAAATGGACAGAAGAACTGAATAGACATTTTTCTAAAGAAGACGTATAAATGGCCAACAGGTACAGGAAAAGATGCTCAACCTCACTATAAGTGAAATGCAAATTAAAATCGCACGAGATATCACCTCACACCTGTCAGGATGGCTAGTATCACGAAGACAAGAGATAGCAAGTGTTGGTGAGGCTGAGGAGAAAAGGAACCCTTACACACAGTTGGAAGATTGGAAAGCTTGTGGTCCCCATGGAGGTAGGCAGGCCTTGGAGGGCAGATGTGGGGGAGGTAGCGGGAGACGTTGGAACCAGGTCAGGGATGGCCTTGAAGACCACGCTAGGGTGCCTAGACTTTGTTTGTTGGGCCATGGGGAGCCACTGAAGGTGTCTGAGCTGAAGAGAGTCAAGATCATGGTATGCTTCAGGATGATCAATCACAAAGAAGAGAAACTCTCAGGCATGGAAGCTTCCACCTTGTCCTTTCAGAAGGGGAACAAGCACCCTTGAGAATTCTGTGATTTTCCAGAAGCTCTGTTACTTCCCCATGTTTGTGACTTTTCTAGTTCCTTGCAGTGATTACCATGAAACCCCAAACCAGAAAGAGGCTATGGAGCTGCCCCACGCCTGTCAGGCAGAGAAGAACCCTAAGAGGGTGTGAGGAGCTGTTGGAGAGGGCAGGCAAGATACCACCGGGGGCCCAGAGAGAAGGGCCAGGGCTAAGCCAGTGGGAGGAAGTCCCAGGGAGACAGTCTGGCTTCTGTGGTATCCCTAAGTCGCTGCTGGATCCGGAGAAGAGCCAGGCCCCTGCCCAGGCTGGGAGCCCTTCATCAGGCCGTGGAGGCAGCCGTAGCAGATTTTATTCTGAGCTGTGGGCCTCTGTCATAGCCCAGAGAAGCCCCGGGACCCCACTCCAAGAAGAGCCCTCCCCCCTCCCCCAGGGTTCCAGGAGCCACACCCTGAGTGGCAGCCAGCAGGCTGATGCTAGGGCCCAGTCTGCTGCTCCCTCCAAGTCTGGGAAATGGCCTTAGAAACTCTCTGAAGAAGGCGGTAGAAGGACACCAGACTGGCAGGCAAGAACCTGCTATGTGTGAGCTTGGGCCAGCACTCGATGGTGCTGAGCCTCAGCTTCCTCCTCGGGAACTGAGCCCTTGGCTTCTCTCCTAGGCTGATTGTGAGCATCACATGGGACCGCTGTCAGGAACAGCAAGGGACTTGGGCAGGGCCCAGGTAATCAGGACGAGCTGGGTTTCCCAACAAGTGGGTGCCCTCTGGATGTGGGCTGGGGGCCAGCCCCCGGGAGCCCTGAATATCAGCGTCGCAGGCAAGTTCCTGCCTTGGCGGGTCTTCTCAGCCCTCTGGTCACTCCAGGGAGAAAGTCTCCACTCGGTGCCCTCCGTCTTTAACTCTGCCCTACCCCTTGTTTGTGGCTTTTCTCTACAAACGGACGGGGCTCCAGACTTCTTTCAGGAGGTCAGAGTACCTGACCAGAATTAAATAATGTTGTTTTCATCACTTTTCTGTTCGATTTTCTTAGCTTCTCGGAAGTCTTATGATTTTGCATATTTTAAAGGCAACTTTTAGACTCCAGTAACATTTTAAATGTTTATTCTATTTACTAAGCAGCTCTGTGTCTAGGAATTTAACCTGTGGACACATATACTTACAAAAATGTACAAATACAAATATACTTTACGGGGGCACCTGGGTTACATGTCCGACTTTTAATCTCAGCTCAGGTCTTGTTCTCAGGTCATGAGTTCAAGCCTAGCGTGGAGCCTACTTTAAAAATAAATAAATAAATAAACAAACAACTTTTATGAACAGTGGTCATTCCAGCATAACTGAGAACTTGGAGGACTGGTCAAATAATTTATGGCACAGCTATACTTTAAATTATGTGCAACTCTCATAATGAACACATTACTATCTACACGTACCACTGACCTGTGAGCGTGCCCATGATGTGTTCTTAAGAAAAAACAAAAGTTGCAAAATGGTAGTGGTAGTTTTATTTAAAATTGTAATTATATATTTACGCAGATAGGTACAGATATAAAACACAAGTATTAGTATAGATGTAAGGCGGGGGAAGCCCCAGAAGGATATAACTAAACTGTTAATAGCGAGAGGTGAATTTTCCATAAGATAAATTCTTACACACAGAGTTGCCGAATGAAGACACATTTACTATGTTACTGGAGTCTAAAATACAAAATACACAAACAAAAGACTTTCTATGTTATATATTTTGAGAATGGATTTTTTTAATACAGGTGTATGTTACATAAATACTTTTATAAAAGTAATTTTTAATTATTATGAAGTTGACCAGACAAATGAAAGAGGCCTTTAGACCGTGTGCCCTATAGCACAGAGGAAGGGCATCAGTGGGGGTTGTGAGCTGAAGGTTAGGGTCCCACGAGCAATTACTCCTTCCAGTCTTTCCCTCTTTTTCCAGGAACAAGGCCCTTGGCTGTGAATAGGGCAGCGGAAGAATTGTACAGTCCAAGTGGCTCATCCGTCTGGAAGGAAAATTCCAGCTCACCCGTTCCCTTGGGCCCGCCTGAGTGGCAAGGCTGGGAGGAAGGAGCCAGCAGAGGTGACCTGTGGTTCGCCGCCCCCCGCCCCCCGGCCGACTCCTGCACGCCCTCCGCTAGCCCTCAGGTTCACTTAGCTCTTTCCTCTTACCCAATCCTTCCCTACTCTGTCTGGGCACCACACAGGTCTGGAGTCTGGAGACAGGGGTTGGGACCCAGGCTTCCCCTGTCCCCAGCTCTGCAACCTTGGCTGAGCACTTTACCTCCCTGAGCGCTGACTTGGGAGTCAGCCGGGATCCTGTCCCTGCTGCCCTGACCAGATGGCCTTGGGCAGGTCACTTCAAAACCTTCCTGAACTGGCTTCACGTGTAATACGGGGAAAGTAGCGGTCCCTGGTTCCTAGGGTTGGTGTGAGGGTAAAATGAGAAAATGGGCCAGGACAGGCCTGGCACAGAGTAGCTGTTCAGTGCTCACCAGCTTTTCCTCATCCTTTCTCTCTCTGTGACATCATTAGCTCCATTTACTGCTGGGGAGATTGAGGCCTGATGTGGTGTAATCTAGCCAAGGGCCCCTAAGGAGCAGACCTGAAGTGGAGGGAGCCCAAGTCTCCTGACCTCCAGACAGAGGCTTGTCCCATGAGCAAAGATAATCCCCGTCTGGAATGTGGGTTGTTTACTCTCTTTCTGGGGGCAGATCCAGGGATTGGCTTATTCATCTTCTACCACAGCCAGGAAAGAGCAGGTCACAGGCTCCGGGTGCTCTCTGAAGCCAGGCCCCCCAGGAGGGTGGGCTTTGTGTGGCCAGGCCATGTAGCGGGTGGGGTTTCCCCTGGCATGGTTCGGCTGCCCCTGCGTTGGCGGCCGGGCCTGTGAGTCAGAGCTGCCCACGTCTGCCCGCTGGCAGCCACAGCCCAGGCCCCTGGCGGCAGTCCAGGGAGGCGTGTGGTTCCAAAGAGAGGTGCCTGTGCCCCAGAAGCTAACGGAGATGCCCCTTCCCCCCATCAGAGAGAGCAAGGGATGACCAAGATCACACAGTGACATATGATAGATCTCGGGCTGATAGCCGGTTCTACCTTGGGTGACCCCTGCCAAAAGGCCCAAGTGAGGAGGTCAGGAAGCCATAGCCTGGGTCTAAGACCCTTGCACTCTGGCCCTTGCCCCCGTTGGCTCTGTTGCCCTGGCCCCATGGTCCGTCAGGCCTGGCCTGGGCTGTGGAGCCTATGGGCAGGATGGAGCCGGCCAGTAGGTACCAGGATGCCTGGCTCATGCCAGCCCCATTCCACCGAGTCGCTGCAGTTGTGAGGGGCGTGGGGCCTGCTGGGTCTGCACCCCGATGCCCGGCCTACCTAGACTGCGCTCAGAGACACAGCTGGGCCCCGTTCCCTCCCTGGCCTCACCCTGGCCGCTCCCACCTCCCCTCCCCGCCCACCTTCCTCTCTCTCTTCCTCTTCCTTCTCTGGTTGCCCTCTCTCCTCACTTCTTACTGCTCTCCGGCCCCCATGGGTGCTATGTCTGTCCTGCTCCTACTTGAGACCCAGCCGCTACTCACCAGGGCCTGGAATCCGGGCTGGAGCGGATACCTGTCACAAGCTACACCAGCCTCCCTCTGGCCCACGGGCAGAATGGAGGGGAGGGCAGGGGGCGTCCCCGCTTACCAGCCAAAGCCAAAGCACATGGTGGGGTGGGGGGGGGGCGCAGGAGGAGCTCAGGCTTCTCAACAGGAGCCTGTGAACGGTCCGGCCTGTCCCAGAGCCAGGCACTGCAGAGCCGGAAGGGCCTTTCCATTTCACACCTTGGGAAGCCAAAGCCCAAGGTCCAGGCCGTCCAGATGCTAGCAGGTGGTGGAGGGAGTGTGCGAACCCCATTTTACAGATGGAACTGAGACTCCAAGCTGAAGGACCCTGTGTGGGGACACGGTGGCTAGGGCTCAGCCCCATCTGCCCCACTCCACTCCTGCCACCTCCCAGGCACAGGGCCTAAACCCGCGAGAGACCACGAAGTCCATGAGTGAGAAGCACCAGGTTTAATATTAAAATCTTTCTCTTAAAAAAAAAAAAGTACACAGATAGGAAAATTTGATGGCATATAAAATAGCACTTCTGCTGTATAAATGTGAGTTAATGTGAGTCCTAAAAATACTTGTAAACCTAGGTGATTACATCTTTGGTACCGTAGTGAGAACCTCCTCCCTCTCCTGGGCCGGCAGAGGGGGCTCGTGCCCACTTCCGGCTCTCCTCCTGCCAGGAGTCTTGGCCATGGCCCTCGCTCCCCTGGCACCCCCGCTGCTCACCTAGCCGGGGTGTGGTTGGCAGAGAGAGTGCAGCAAGCGGGCCTGGGCAGTGATGCCCTCAGGGACCAGGCAGCTACTGGGTGAGAAGGCAACCCCCAAAGTACCCGCCTCTTGCACCCCTCTCAGGTTCCCTACAAAGGCTTCTTGTACTTTCTGGGGGCCCCCAGGAGCCCTCACTGTCCATGATGTCTGTGGCACAGACTTGGACAGCAGGTGCTGGAGAGCAGACTGCACAAGGGTGTCTGATCTGCCCCCTCTGCCTCCTTTGCTCAGGATGGCTCCAGAGGTCATTGGTGGGTCTGAGAGGGCCCCGTGGTCTTCCCATGGGGCAGCTGCTGGGGGCTTTCCAAGACACTGGCTGTCACTCCGAGTCAAGATCTGTGCAGCTGGCCTTCTGGGACTTGCTTGGGGGTCTGGGGAAGGGACATAGTTCTGAATGCCCAGAGTGTGATGCATGGTCCGGAGTCTCCCCAGACCCCAGCTGACCCCTAGGACGGAGGTTTGGAGTGTTTGGCTTTGCTTCATCTGGGCAAGGGTGCCACCCCCTGCAATGTTCGAGAACATTAGTGCCGACAGGGCACCAGAAGTCAGCGAGTCCATCTTGCTCATTTTTCAACAGGGCAAACAGGCCTGGAGAGGGTGCGGAATTCCTCCAAGGTCCCATATCAGGTCCAAAGTGCATCTGGATCCACACACGTGGACATTTCCCGCAGGCACATCCACACGCTCATCACAGATGTGGGGCCCGCCCTGGCCCTGGAGACTCTGGTGGGTGGAGTAAGACCGGCGGTGATAAGGAAGAAGACCCCAGCACTTATGGGGCCAGGCAGACATGGACACGGGCACTTGTATGTGTCCCAAGTGCCTGGGACAGGGGCTGTGGGCCAGAGTGTCCTGGACTTGGCTCAGCCCCCAGCATGAAGCGTGGATGGCCCCAGACCAGCTCGGGCCTGGGAAAGTGGAGATTGGCATCAAGGAGAGGTGGCTTCTGGATGAACATCACTGTCCGAGGCCAGGCCCCTGCTCAGCCAGGAGCCAGGGATGCCAGGGTCCCTTCCCCAGCTCTTAGGTGGATGAAAGTGCGAGGAGAAAGCTACAGCTTCTTGAGGAGTAGCTGGCTGAACAGAAGAACATTAATTCATACCTCCTGAACCCCGAGAATCTCTCTAGGGATTCCGACCTCCCCACCTGTCAGCCGGGGAGACAGAAGCCCAGATTCTGCGTCACCGGGCCCTGCGCTCCCATCCTACAGATGGAGAAACTAAGTGTCCCGGGAGAACCCTGGCTCCCATCACAGGGCCTCCCCAGAGGCAGAGGGCTGGTCGTGACCCCTGCAGCAGCCCTAAGGCAGCCCCAGCGGCTGGGGTGCCACATGCCAGGGACAAAAGCTTTCTAGAAAGTGGCGGCTGATGGGAGGCCAGGCCAGGCCAGGAGGCGCTAGGTGCTGGGAGGTAGAGGGGGAGCTTCAGGTGGGGCAGGGTGGGGCCAGCCCCCTACAGGAAGCTGTCTTCTGCCTCAGCCCGATGCCCAGGGCAGCTCGAGTCCAGTGGTGGCTCCAACTCCGGCTCCACCTGGGGTTCGGGCTCCTCTTGGGGCTCCAGGGGGCTGTCACAGGAGATGGTAGAGGACGTGTTCGCTTCATTCAGGGTGGAGCTAGGAGGAGAAGGTGAGTGAGTGAGGGGCTGGGAGGGAGCCACGGTGAGATGATAGCAGCCATCAAGGGCTTTCTGAGTGTTCAAGCGTGCACCCCGCGCCTCACACCCTTGAGTTCCTCTCAGCCCTGTAAAGACTACACAAGGCGGGCGTGGCCTCTCGGCCCGGCGATGTCAGCGGCCTGCAGCGCACAGTGAGACTTCCAGCAGCAGGTCCAGCTGGCTCCGGAGCCCGTTTCTCACTCGTCAGCACCTCCGTGCCTGGCACTCCGGAAGGCGCTGGCCATCTCACGGAAGCCACCGACAAGCCCCACATAGATGGGCGTTACTGTTTTCATTTTAGACAGGACAAAACGGAGGCTCGGGGAGCGGGGGCGGCTTGTGTGAGGGCACCGGACAGGCCGGCGGTCCCCCCTCAAGCTGTCTGAGCTCTGAGCTGAACTCCTCCGCCCGCTGGCTACCTGGAGCCTGGCAACCTGTGCTCCTAAGGAAGGCGGAGAGGGCCTTCTAGTTCTCGTGGGTGCTCCTAGTGCCCGTGCGGAGACGGAGGCTCGCAGAGACGGGGCCTGGCCGGGCCTCACGGCAGCTGGGGCCACAGCTGGAGCTGGAACCCTGCCTGCGGCTGCTGCCACTCCACCACAGAGTGGATCTGGTTGGGGGGGGGGCGTCTGGCCTCATGGAGGGGGGACGACTCTCCTCGCCAGCTGAGGGAAGATCCTGTCTGAAGGTGAAGTCCACGCAAAGGCTGGGCCTTCCTCCAACCCTCACCCACTGTAACTTCACCACATCCCAAAGGCAAAAAAAAAAGCACGAATCTCCTTCCCAGTCAGAATTCTGGCCCCAACTCCTGTGGGCACCAGGCCTCCTACGACCACGCCTGGCTCCCGGGGGCCCTGAGGACGTGATGCTGGAGAACAGAGCACAGGCCAGGGCTGGCGATGACCCCAGAGTAATACACAGGGGGCTGGGGATGCTGATTAGATTTCCTACTTCTCCTTAGGGCCTGGATAAGGCCTAGGGAGAGGAGCGGAGAGATGGCCTATGGGGGCCACATTCCAGGAAACAGCTCCCTTGCAAGTAAGTCCCAGCCTTTCTGTCTCTCACCAGCCTGCCCTTTCCCCCTGAGGTCATCAGAAGTCAAATGAGTTCAGTTCTCCCTTCTGCTCACTGGCAGGAATCAATACTCACCCCAGGTGGCTGACTTCTAAGGCAAGCCTGGCGGCATGAAGACACAGACAGACAGAAAGACACACACACACACACACACACACACACACTGCACACTATTGCCTTGGGCCTCAGGCCACAGTGACTACCTGGCAAGGCTGGGAGAACTCTCCAGTGGGCCCTCATCAGCAACCTCAGGTTTGGGGTCAGGCAGGGGGATGATATAGTCGTTGTCACCCTCATTGGGCTGCACAGCCGTGTAGAGCACAGAGCTGGTGTCCAGGGGGGATCGGAGGCCATGGAAGCCAGGCAAGCGGGCTTGGGACCGAAGGACGGCTGGGTGGTCGCTCCTCAGAAACTCCTCATCCACCTGCTGGTACTTCTGCTCCATGGGGAGGGAGAGCCGGAGAAACAGGGAGGGTCAGACCAGAAATGCCCGTGGGGATAATCTACCATTAGACCCTGACCTGGCCCCTCCTGCCTTGTGTGAATTAGGCAACTGGTGCTCGGAGCAGAAGGGGAATTGCCCAAAGCCACACACAGCTGGGCGGCTCTCCCAGCTGGCATCGCACAAGACCAGGTGAGCTCGGGGCCACCCAGGGAGAGGACAGTCAGCAGACTAGTGCCCGTGACCCTAGCACTTCCCCTACTTCAGAGTAGACAGGTGTGGGCTCTCACCTTGCCTCAGCCTCCTGCAGTGCGGCCTCAGTTTCCCTAGCTGCTAAATGGTGACAACCCAGTCTATCTCACTGGGTGCTGAGCTGTGACCGAACGTGGCTGGGAGTGTGGTTAGGAACGGGTCAGGGGAAAGGGGACGTGTGTCACCCCTCCCTGTAACTCCCTCTGGTGGACAGGCCGGGTTTTAAGGCCCTACTGGCTCCATTTGCCTTGACTGAGCCTGCAACAGGCTCAAATGGTCAGGCCCTTAGCAGACAGGTAGCCTGAGGCTGTTCAGACTTCTGAAGGAGCCCCAGGCCTTGGCATGGGTGTAAAGGCATGAGGAGGGACGCAGGATGAAGGGGGCTGTGGGCATCGGCTTCCACACAGGATTTCATTTCAAAAAACGCTGTGCTGCTGAAATAAATTCAACTCACAGCTCCAGCCCATCCCTTACTAGTACCAGGAGGGAAACTGAGGCCCAAGCAGGTACAAGGTGGTCCCTCAAATACCAGCATGACACACAGAGCCTTGTACCCAGTGTCTGATTTCTGGGCCAGAACTCTCTGTTTTGCTGCCTCAGCATACCTTTTTGTACCCCTCGCCCAGCAGCCTCTCGAGAAGCAGCACCAGCTGGGAGAAAGGAGGCCGGATCTCAAACTTCTCTTCCCAGCACTTCTGCATGATCTCATAACTGGGGAGAGGCAGAGAGAGGGTCAGGGTCTCTGGCTCGAGGTCTGCTGCCTCCCAGAACCAGGCGAGCAACGAAGGGAGTTGGGGAGGACAGGTGGAGAGGGACTGTTTTTCCTATTCCCTGAGGAGGCCCTCCCCCCATTGGTGGTTCCATGCGGCAGGCCACCTTGTTGAGCACATGACCCAGGTCTGGCTGGTAGGAGTTTTCATGGCTCTCAGTTCAATGGCTGGCTCTGGATGGGCACGTGACGCCAGCTGAGCCCTTGACAGTCAGCTCGGGGCCTTTTGCCCGAACTATGGTGACAGCAGTGAGCACATAGCCATTTGGCCTGAAAACGCGGCCAGCACGGAGGAAAGCAGGGCCAGGTAGAACCAGATTCCTGATGACAGCCTCTGAACACCGAGATCCAGCTATACTGAGGTTTTTCTACATCTCTGGACTAATCTATCTTTGCCTTAAGCCAGTTAAGTTGGATATCTACTGTTTGCACCCAAAAAACCCTCCCAAATGCTCCACTCACATCTCATCGGAGGCGTGGGCAGGCTGGGCCATGCGGTATCCCCGCTTGATGGCATTATAGAACTGCTCATTCATGGGTAGCTCTGGGTAAGGAGTGCCACCTGCAGAGAGCAGAGACAAGAGATATACAGGCTCAGAGGTGTAGAAGAATGGCAGGTACCCTATTCTATGGGACAGAGAGAGGCACACCAGCCCTAGAATGGACGAGGGTACAGCGGCCTTGGCACTGAGAAATGTGAGCCCCCTTTAGAGGCTCGGGACAGAGACTGCAACCCTCCCCAGAAACAGAGGACCAGAGAACACCAGAATCAAGTAGGCTTTCTGATGTCGCTTCCAAACCCATCCATAATCAGCTGGGGAAGTAAAGAGACCCAGAGAGGAAAGGGACTTGCCAAGGTCACATAGCAGCGAGAAAGCCCCAGAGAGTGGTGACTTGAACCAGAGCCCTGCCCCCTGCCCCAGAGCCTGTCCCCACAGCCCCACCAGGCTGGAGGTATGAGTGGTTAGGGTGGAGGCTGCGCTGTGCCCCTGAGGGCTGGGGGGAAAGGAAGCATACCCAGGGTGAAGATCTCCCAGAGTAGGATCCCGAAGGACCACACGTCGCTCAGGGTGGTATAGAGGCTGTTGAAGATGCTCTCAGGAGCCATCCACTTCAGAGGCAGGAAGGTCTGTGGAAGGGCAGGACGGTACGAAGTACAAGGAGGGCCAAACCCCACTCTGCACCTGGCAGTTCCTGCTCCAGCCCCTGGCTCCCCGGGCCCTGAGAGCCCGCTCCTACAGGCGAGCAGATCCCACAGCCATCCCAGTACTGGCCAGAGGACCAGAAGGCCAAATTTCTTTACCCACAGCTGATGACATGGAGCTCTTATCCCTGAGCAAGAGCCCCAGGGTCTGCAGCTCCTCTTCCTGACCCCAGTAGAGACCTCTGGCTTGGGTAGAGAGCAGGAGAGCCAGAGACACGCCAAGGTACTACCCAGTTGTGACCTGGCCACCTTCGATCTCTGGGGTCAGAGTCCCTCCAGCTCTGGGATTCACTGTCCCCTTGTGGAAAGTGGGAACATGAGTGGCAGGCAGGATGGTCACATTTAACCAAATACACATTTGACCTGTTCCGTTTCCACCCTTCCCAGGACCCATTACAGCTGGTCCTGTCATGACCGGTGAATCTGAGCCCTGGGCTCACCCTCACACCCTTAGCATCTCCACCCCACTCCGCACAGCTGGTGGCTTCCCTTCCTGGGCCTGCACACATGGCTAGGCAGGCCAAGCCTGTCACCACTGGACAGGGCAGGTCACAAGGAGCTCCGTCCTGATCTCCCTTGTGCCACAGCCATGCTGACCGGGAGAGAACTTGTTCCCAGGGTCAGAGACACACAGGATCAGGCAAGGTACTCACGCTGCCTTTGGAGATATAGTTTGAGTCTCGCATGATGTCACGAGCCAGGCCGAAGTCACAAATCTTGACCAGCTTGCCCTCACAGATGAGCACATTTCTGGCTGCCAGATCTCGGTGGACACACTGGGTTGGGGGGGATGGGAGCTGAGGCCTTGGAGGCAGTTGTGGGGAAAGACCTGCCTGTCAAGGGCTTTGGGGAAAATGTATGACCACACAGGTGTGAGAGGCCACACAGGTGAGAGGGGCCACATGGTGAGGGCGTTCACTGTCCTCACCCACCAGAGGGGACGTCGCTGCCATATGGAGCTGTGTACTTGGAGGACCCTGGCTGGCTGGGTGGCCCACCTCCCCATGACCCTAACTGCCCACTGTGACCACACGTACGTTCTTGGAGGCCAGGAACTCCATGCCATTGGCCACCTGGTAGCTGAAGCCCACGAGATCTGTGTAGCTAAGCACTGGGGACTCGTTGATCAGAGTTACCCGACAGGTCCTCTCGGGAGCTAGGGGAGAACAGAAGTTCACCGACCATCTTGTGTCTCCACATGGCCCACAGAACCCCTGCCCTTTTGGTCTTGGAGGCTGACGGTCCAATACAGGTGGCTACTGATCCTCCAAGTTCCCCACAAAAGGAAAACAATTTCCAAACACCTAATGTAAACCTCTCCTACCTCATCAGTGCTCTCGTTGGCCGGAGAAGCCTTTGGCGTTAGCCCCGGGCCACCTGTACGGAGCCTGACCCGCTTGGCTTCTCGGGGACTGGGTCAGCCTGCGGCCTCCTCTGTGCCCATGCCCCAGGAGGCCAAGGAGTCCCCCAACCCCAACTCTTCCCACTCTGGATCCAGAAACAGAGGTTAACGCTGGGGCTCCATCACAGAGCAGCTTTGTGCAGATGGTTAACCTCAGTTTCTGCATCTGTGAAACGGGGACAAGGCCACCTTCCTCCCAGGGTTGTTGCCAGCCAGGGCATACGAAAGGCTTTGATAGGAATGCACGACGGCAGAGGGGTGGGGGCTGTGCCTAGGTGAGGACCCTGGGCGCACCCACCGGTGGGAACATAGTTGTCATAAGGGGCCATGTAGCTGGAGGACTCGATGTCTGCATATTTGACGCCTCCTTTCATGTCCAGCATGGGCACGTAGTCCACCGACTCATCCTTGCTCATGTCCATGTAGCCACCGTCGCTCTCCCCGGGCAGAGACACGTGGCTGGGGGAGAGAGGAACATCACAGAAGGAGGGCCCACGGGCTTTCCTTTGGCTTCCCTTCCTGCCCCTGCTCACCCCTAGGCCCCACAAGGCCCTGTCACTCATGGCTTTCCTCTCTCTTTCCACCACCCATCTTCCTCCAGCCTGTCACAACTGGAATGACCACGCAGTGAGCCCTTCCAACCAGCCCGTGGGGCACTAAGCTGGGCAGCGGGGTGCTGGAGGACACAGGTCCCAGGGCATGTCCTCAGGGAGCTCACGCCTAGGCGGGATCACAGCATCCCACAGAAGGGCAGGGAGCACGACGCCTTTCTAGGGAGCACAGCCTTTCCATCTGGCTGTGATGCCCTGTGAGGGCCCAGCCACAGCCCAGAGTGGGCAAGGAGTTGCCCCAAGGCCTCTGCCTGCAGCGCCAGCTCCCCGGAGTGCTACGGGGTCACGTAAGCCCGTGTCTCCGGAGGCCAACCAAAGACCGCAGGAAATCGGTCCGATGCCGGGGAGGACGGGGTGAGTTCGCATGTCTTTCCGCGACAGACCCACGCCCTGGCTCCTAAACTGTCTCTGCCCGGCCTGGCCTCAGCTTCTGCGCCGGGCGGGGAGGGCATGCGCAGGTTCTCCCGGGGGCCCCCCGAAGCCTCCTGCGGTACCTGGGCAGCGGGAGCCCGCCGGGCAGGGCGTGCACAGGTTCTCCCCGGGGCCCCC